CTTTCCTGGAGCTCACTTGGTAGCCCAGGCTGGCCTCGAACTCACAGAGATCCGCCTGCCTCTGCCTCCCAAGTGCTGAGATTAAAGGCGTGCGCCACCACGCCCGGCTCTTTTTTTTTTTTTTGAAACAGGGTCTCATATAGCCCAGGCTGGCCTCCAATTCACTCACTCTGTAGCCCAGGCTGACCTTGAAGTCCTGATCCACCTGCCTCTACCTCCCTAGTGCTGGGTGGGGGCGCAGTGATAGGCACGTGACACCTGGCCTGTCCTTTTGTTTTGATTTTTTAAATTAATTTTATTTTAATTACACATGTGCGCGCATGCCTGTTAGGGTGGTGTGTGTACGTGAGGGCAAGGAACTCCAGATGCCTGAGGCCTGGGATCCCTTGCCGATGTGAGCCACCTGATGTGGGTGCAAGGTGCTGACCTCAGCTCCGCTGGAAGAGCAGTGAGCAAGGCCTCTGACCTCTAAGGCCTCTCCTACCCTTGGTTAATTTTTAAGACACGATCTCACCGTAGCCTAGATATTTCTGGAACTCACTGCAATCCTCTTGCCGTAGCCTGAGTGCCGAGTGACAGGCACACCACTTGCTCCACCAGGGGTGTTTTATTTTGCTTTTCTATTTTGTTAACCGGTGAAGTTCAAAAGTCCATCGAATACAGTTGCCATGGCGACAGCTTGCCCTCTGCCCCTCCCCTGACGCGCCCAGCAGGTGGCGCCCGTCCCCTGCTCTCTGTTGGGTTTGTAATTCTTTCATGCTTTTTGTTTGAGTTTAGGGTATTTGCCGAGGCAGGGTCTCCTGATCCCCTGCCTCCGCCCTCCGAGTGTTTGGGATGACGGGTGTGCACTGTCACACCTGCATGGGATCCCGGCCTTGGCTGCACGCTAGCTGGGCACTCTGCTAACTGAGTTCCAAGCACTGTGCCAACTGAGCTGCCAGCACTCCTAACAGCTGAGCCTCAGCCCCAGGCCTTTTTTCTTTAGTTTCTTGTGTGAGACAGAGTCTCATGGCGTAGCCCTGGCCGGCCTGGAACTCATTATGTAGAGAAGCAGGCTGGCCTTGATCCAGCAGCGATCCTCCTGCCTCAGCCTCTCAAGTGTTAAAACGGTCCTCAGTAATATCTGGACCTCCTTTTTCATAAAGCCCCCGGCCCGTATTTGGTCACAACTGCAGAAATAGAGTAATCCGGATCTTTCTCCAGCTCTGCTGTCTTCCCTGATCTTCCCTGAAGACCCTGGGCTCCAGCAGCCTGGCATTTCCTGGGCAGCCAGCCCTGCAGTGGTCACGGTCACGAGGGAGACACTGCTGGACTGGGGTGTTCAGTGGGTTGGGTGTAATTAATACCTTTTTTTTTGAGGGGGATCAGGGTCTCATGGAGCCCAGGCTGCCTTCAGTTTTTCTGTGTATGAAAAGGATGAGGATGACCTTGAATTCCTGGTCCTGCCTCCATCTCCCGAGTGCTGGGTGCCAGGTGTGCAGCAGCCCAGCGGATCTCTCTTACACCTGAAGCCAGGACGTGCCACCCTTGCAGCCTCCCCACCCTCACACCGTGTCTTCCCTCCCAGGAACTGGAGAAGCTGGGCCTTGGGGACAGCGTGGACCTGCATGTGTATGAAATCCCTGTGGAATACCAGACCGTGCAAAGGCTCATCCCCGCGCTGTGGGAGAAACACAGCCCCCAGGTGAGCAGATCGCAGGGGCACCCTAGGAGATCCGTGCGCCCCAGTCCTGGCTCAGTCCCGTGAGGAGGCATCGTGACCAAGCAGCCCATAAATGCCGGGCTGCAGCTGGGGTGAGCTCACAGTCCACAGTCATCAGGGGCAGAGCCCACCCCCAGTGACACACCTCCTCCATCAAGGCCACACCTTCTAATCCTTCCCAAACAGTTCCACACCCTGGTGACTAAGCGTTCAAATCTATGAGCCTGTGGGGCCGTTCTTACTCAGACCACACCCCCTCCGCACAAGACCACTGCCGTACCTCACCCTTGAACTTTCATGGATTCTTATGGGAGGGAGGGAGAGGGCAGTGACTGGGGCTGCATAGACGCTCTCTGCCCTCGGTGTGCCAGCCAGGAAGGGTCTGAGCAAGTCACAGTTAAGTATGAGTGTGTGAGACCCTGGTGTCCACCCAGCACCACCAAAGAAAGCATTAATACAGAAATGATGACTTTCACAGCACACCTCCAGCCGGGCACAGGGGTGACAGACACCTGTCACCTTGGCAGTCAGGAATTCAGGGAGAGCCCAGACTACATAAGAGGCTGAGGTCAGCTTGGGCTATTGAAGGCCCTATCTCAAAAGCAAAACAAAAACCTGCCTTGGGCTCCCCACATAGGGTTTCTCTGTGTCGTCCTGGCTGTCCTGGATCTCACTCTGTAGACCAGGTTAGCCTTGAACTCACAGAGATCCGCCTGGCTCTGCCTCCCAAGTCTGTCACCATGCCTTTCTGCCCTGGGCTTTTTAAACAGCTACATAATATGCCGGGTGGTGGTGCACGCCTTTAATTCCAGCACTCAGGAGGCAGAGACAGGCGGATCTCTGTGAGTTCAAGGCTAACCTGGTCTACAGAGTGAGTTCCAGGTCAGCCAGGGCTACACAGAAAAACCCTGATATGAAAAAAAAAAAAAAAAAAAAAAAACACTAAAAAACCCCAAACTATATCATCATCGTCTGCTCCTGCTAAGCCCCGCCCCTCTGTCCCCAGCTCGTGGTGCATGTTGGGGTGTCGGGCATGGCCACCACAGTGACGCTGGAGAAATGTGGTCACAACAAGGGCTATAAGGGCCTGGACAATTGCCGCTTCTGCCCCGGCTCCCAGTGCTGTGTGGAGGACGGCCCCGAGAGCATCGACTCCATCATCGACATGGACGCTGTGTGCAAAAGGGTGACCACGCTGGGGCTGGACGTGTCTGTCACCATCTCCCAGGATGCTGGCAGGTGGGGCCCTGGGCACCCGAGGGCCGGTGGCGGGTGGGGTCCTAGGGGCTGAGCAGCAGGTGCCCTCCTGTCACCTCCGCCTGGCCTGAAACTGTCTCTGTAGACCAGGCTGGCCTGAAACTGTCTCTCTCCGTAGCCCAGGCTGGCCTCTGCCTCCCGAGTGCTGCTGGGATTAAAGGCGGGCGCCATCATGCCCAGCAAAATGAAAGTTTTAGAAAAGGGAGGAGAGTCTCCCAGAGCCCCGGAAGTCCTCCAGCCCTAGCCCCCCCCCCCCCACGGTCCCCCAGCACAGGCTTGCCTGGACCCACTCTGCCGTGTCTCCTCCTCCCCGGCTCAGGTACCTCTGTGATTTCACCTACTACACCTCGCTGTACCGGGGCGGCGGCCGGTCAGCTTTCGTCCACGTTCCCCCGCTGGGCAAGCCTTACAACGCGGACCAGCTGGGCCGGGCGCTGCGGGCCATCATCGAGGAGATGCTGGGCGTCCTGGAGCAGGTGGAGGGCGACATCCGCTGCTGCCACCAGCACTGACCGCCGGCCACGCAGGCGGCCGGGGAGACGGCGGCGTGGAGGGCGACTCACCCCTGCTCCTCCCCCTGGCGGACCAGGCGGCTGGGCGCAGCGAGCCCTGTCTGGGGACGCGGCTGCTGCACCCCAGGGAGCCCGGGGCGACGCGGCCACAGGCTGGAGGCCGACGCCCGCCACGCCCCTGCCTTGACCCCAGCGCACTCTGTCAGGGCCTCCTCTCTGGCCAGGCCAGGGCCTCGCAAAGTGTCATCAAGGAGTCCGCGCTAATCTGTCCCCAGCAAAGCCACCTGGGACTTGGCTGCCTTTTCTGGGCCCCCTTCCCCCTCCAGTGCTAGATTAGGGACGGAGTAATTTATATTCCCAGGGTTAAAACTTCAGGCTCAGCCACAAGTGTCTTCTCTTTCTCCTGGAGGGGGAGGCCTCTCTTGCCTCCTGCCCTGGAAATGCCACCACACTTTGGGTCCCTGTAGTGGGTCCCCTTTGCTCAGAAGATCAGGCTGCTGTTGCCACCAAGGGTCTGGCCGTCCCTGGGCAGCACTGGCCCTGACATGACCTTTCTTTTCTTGTTTTCTTTTCGAGTTTCAGAGTATGTTTGTTGTCTTTTTTCTTTTCTTTCTTTCTTTCTTTCTTTCTTTCTTTCTTTCTTTCTTTCTTTCTTTCTTTCTTTCTTTCTTTCTTTTCTTTTCTTTTCTTTTCTTTTTTTTTTTTTTTGAGTCAGGGTCTCAGGTAGCCCAGGCTGGCCATTTGAACTTACTATGTAATCTAGGCTGGTCTCATCTGAACTCCTGATCCTCCTGCCTCAGTGCCGGGAAGACAAGCGTTTGGCACTACCGAGGGCCCTCCGGGACCGGAACCTGACAGAACCATCGCCACCCAGCATCTGGGGTTGTCTCTACGCGGGACCTGGGACCGGAGGCTGCCTCGTTGCCCAGGCTTGCCCCCGCATGTTGTACCAGCCCCAGGGACGTCTGGTGAACTGTTTAGAAGTGTGCTTGGGACGCAAGCCAGGCCTTGTCCTGTGGACTTTGAACGTCCAGGCCTGGAGGCGGGGCTGGATGTGACGTGTGGTGGACCCCACCAAGACAAAGCTCGGTTCCTGCCGCCAGAAGCCACGTACATTTTGGATGCCACCTTCTGTTCTGTGGAGGAATAGAGGGGGACCTCACCGTCCCCAAGTGTGAGATCTGGATTCTCGGGTAACTTTTCATTCCTGTACCTTTGGTTGTTGTTTGAGACGGGTTCTCACGTAGCCCAGGCTGGCCCCCCACTCACGATGTAGCCCAGGCTGGCCCCCCACTCACTCAGCCTGCCCAGTGCTGTGGGTGTGGCTGGCAGTTTTAAATTGTCAGGGCTCTGTCCTCCTCCAGGGCCGAGCACAAGTCATGGCGGCATGTGGGGACTCAGGAGCGAGGGGTCCCTCAAGACACCTTGGGACGTCGTGTAGACCAGGCTGGCCTTGCCCTTCTGATCCTCCTGCCTCAGCTTCCCCCTGAGGTGACAGGGGCACCACTGCCCCTGGTTTCTGTTCCCGGTGACTTTGTTTGGGTTTTGTATTTTGAGGCAGGGTTTCTCTACCTGAACTCTGTGGCTCAGGCTAGCCATCCAGCTTGTGGCAATCCTCCTGCCTCAGATGTACCCAGCTCCTGGCAAGTCCTCAGGTGGGCTCCAGGCTGCACTCCACTCTCAAATTCCTCAAAGTTTCGGGCAGGACCCTGGAGGAGGGGAGGGGCAGGAGGGCTGGGGAAGATGTGGCCCTGCACCCCAAATCCATGGCTCCATACTTCATCTCTCCTGTGCCAGGAGCACCCGGCACTTCAGCTCAGAGACAGGCCGCCCCTCAGTCACCCGAGGGCTGAGGGGCGTCCCGGGACATGGGGCTGGGCTCTATTTATTTATTTAGGCATCCGTTAAGCAACCCCCTGCCCTGACCAGAAAACTTGATATTTTTTCTCCTTGTTTCTTGGCTGGTGGGGCTCAGGGAGCCCATGGTTGCCAGGTGTAGGTCTAGCCTGGCCACATTTGAGTCTTGAGGAGCAGCAACCCTGCTGTCCGTCCCCCCCCCCCCCCCCCGTTCTCGCCTTAGGAGAAGAGGGTAGGATGATTAGGGCTGCTGGGAGCAGGGCAATCCCACAGATGACAGATGGGCGGAGGCCTGAGGTGGGCAGGGCCTGCATCCTACAGATGCCATGGCAAAGAAAGCCAGGCTGGGCCCAGTGGTAGAGGAAGGGAGGTCCTTGTGATGGAGTTGAAGCCAGGGACGTGAGCAGGAGCAGGGGTGGTGTCTGGGCCCTCGGCCGGACGAGAAAGTCTGATTTACGCTGTCAGTTTGGACATTGGTAAAGTAGCTTCTGGATCGAGTATGCTGCGCCCAGGGCCTGCTCCAGTGTCCCCAAGGCCACAGGGAGAGACGGGCCGCAGGGAGCTGAGGCTGGCCCACCATAGTGGGACCCAGATCTTTTGGATTTCTTTCTTTTCTTTTTTTTTTTTTTAAGACAGGGTCTTACGTAGCCCAGGCTGGCTTCACACTCACTACACAGCTGAGGAAGACCTTGACCTTCCCCTGGCTCCATGTCCCAGGGATGACAGGTATAAGTCACCATGCCTCACTTGGAGGCAGATTTTTTTTTTCCTGAGTTTTCGAGACAAAGTTTCTCTGGTAGTCCTGGCTGTCTTGGAACTCGCTCTGTAGACCAGGCTGGCCTTGAACTCACAGAGTTCTGCCTGGCTGGAGGCCGCTCTTTGAAGTTATACTGATAGTGTCAGCTGCAGCTGGGAATCTCATGGTCCACTCTGCTCATGGCTGGCGTGGAAGCCTCCAGAAAACGGTGGCCCCTGAGGCCGAGGGAGCTGGGGAAGCGGACTCAGGTTGCTTTTGTGTGCATCTTGGGCTGGGGGCCAGGCCAGCTGCTGTGTGCACAGGCTGCTTGTGCCTTCGCCCCGTGGGTGACCTCACAGTGTGCCCTGCCCCTCCCCCACTGTCTAGACAGCTCACCTTTGACCTCCCTACCTCTTGGAGAGTCTGAGCCCAGAAGTCCCCTCTGGGTACAAAAAGACAAAGGCTGATTCTTCATCTCAGCCAAGGGGAGCGCAGTCCCCGTGGGGTCCCCGTGGGGCGCTGACGCATCGCAAATACAGGCCCAGGTGGCTCCCACAGGCCACCCCCCCCTCTGCATCCACAGGCTGGGGGGCAGGAAGAGGGCATTATGCCGGGTGAAATGACCCTGCAGTGTCGGCTGGGGTGGGCAGGCGTCTTTTTATGCAGTAGTGAGGAGTGAACCCAACTCAGTGTTCGGGTTTGAAAAACCAAATCCCGAGAGGCCCTGCTCACACCTGTCAGTAGCTTCTGCTCACACCTGTCAGTAGCTTCTGCTCACACCTGTCAGTGGCTTCTGCTCACACCTGTCAGT